GGGATAATCATTTAGTGACAGCAGAGGACAATAAGGTTGCAGAACAGAGAGAGTAAAAGATCCCCATCCCCAAAGTGGCAGAGCAGGGACAATCCATCTCTGTGCCTGGGCTGGCAGGGAGGGAGYTGTTTCACAGCCTGCATGGTTCAGGGGGAATATCAGCACCTCCATGGAAAATATTCATCCCRTGCTGGCTCTGGAATAGTCTGGGCGAAAGCAAAACCTCACGCAATCGAGCTGTGAGGGCTCAAGACTCTGCAAATGAACCTGCAGGTGCCAGAAGCTGGAAAAAGGGAAAACAAGTGACCATGTGAGGACAGGGTGAAGATTCATCCAACATCACGTAGGAACCCGGCCCAGAGACAGAGGCTGCAGSTCTGGAGAGCAGCTCCTCAGACACAGCCCCATCATTGTCTCCCTGCAGCCCCTGTTATTCTCCTCCTTCAAACTCACAGCACAAATGGAAGAGACATCTCCCAGCCCTGGTGACCCCAAGCAGTGGGAGGGCACCGAAGGGTCCTTTTCATGGAGCATTGTGTGGCCATGGAATTCAAACCTGCCTTCTGCAGCAGCTGGGCAGAGGCCTCAGGACCCACACACACAGGGCACACATTTTCCCCGAGAAGAAATGATAGGAAACCAAGACAGAGCAGGAGRAGGCTGATCCAGAGCCAGGGAGAGGCTTAACCCTTCCTCAGCCATGGAGAAGGGGAGGGTCCAGCCGGGCTCCGGAGCCAGCAGGACACGGATAACGAGCTACAAAACATCCCTGCAGGCAGGGAAGCAGATCAGAAGGACAGGGACCGGCCCTGGAGGACGATYCTGCATCTGCAGAGGGAAGGTCAAGGGAGGAGCTGAAGCCCTAAAAAAGCAGCTCTGAGGACAGGCAGGGGCAGGGGCCTGGCCCGGCCTCAGGCAGGGRCAAACAGCTCCTCTGCCTTGTCTTGGGTTATTTTTGTCTCTACTTTGGTGCCTCTGAAGGAAGGCTGAGCACCCCTGCTGCCGCAGAAGCTGTGAGCTGCTTTTGCGTTTTCTTCTCTGTACAAATTCCCAGATGAACCAGCAAAAGAGGGCTTTGGGAAGGGGGTCCCATGGGAAAAGCAGCCTCCAGGAGCTCTGTCCCTGTGTTCCCCTTTCTCTGTGGGGCTGCAGCACAGGGTGAGGGGAGGTTGGGTACTTTGGGTGACCATTAGGCCAAGGGTGCCTGTCCTGGTGGGTCCCGGAGTGGCTGTGCCCTGCTGTGGCCTCTGGGACTCGGGGTGGGTTCCCAGGGGATGCTGAGCCCAGTTTGGGGGCCCGTGCTCTCCATCTGCRGGGGAATAGGCTCCTGATGCAGGCAGACAGATGGGGCAGAGGTTTGAAAGCATCCCCGAGGGGCTTAGAGCTGTCTGGAGGGGAGCAGGGGGGCTGGGAGGGAGCATGCAGCGTGCACAGCCCGAGGAGCCGCGGCAGAGGCAGCGCAGGGCGGTGGGGGAGGAATCGCCCGGCATCCCCCTCCTCCAGCATCCCTGCACCCCTCCCACGGCAGCACCACACCCTCCCCTCCCGCGGCTCCCGCGCCTGCAGAGGCCTCCAGCACCGAGCCCGCCTCCTCCCGCCTCAGTGCCGGCCCGGATTCACGGCAATCGTGCCTTACCTTTGCTGCGTGCAGCCCGGGCCGAGCCGAGCCCCGCGCCCCGGCAATGCCCCGGCAATGCCCCGGCAATGTCCCGGCAATGTCCCGGCAATGTCCCGGCAATGTCCCGGCAATGTCCCGGCAATGGCCCGGCGTTCCGGCGGCACGGACAGTGTCAGGCCCGGCAGAGGAGCGGCGGGGACACTGTGACACCCGGCAGAGAGCAGCAGGTTGTTGCAGACACACAGCAGACAGCCAGCCGGGCACGGCGCCGGGGCACAGGGGAGCACCGGCAGCGCGCCCGGAGCGGCGTGGCCGAGCTGGGGCAGGCACGGAGCTCCCGGGAACGGAACCCAGGCGGTGCCAGCTCCGGTGCTCCCTGCTCGTTCCCTCGTGTGTGACTGCAGCACAGCCCCGGCTGCCTGCTGCCACAACAGCTGGCTGCCGGCGATGCACGGAGTGATCGATATCTTTGGCTTTTCATCCATCGTGTGCATCTGCTTTCATGCTTTYGGGATGGCAATGAGCTTTGAGGGCTGACCTGAACTTTGTTCTGGTGTCATTCACCGTCTGTGGCCTGAATCCGGAGCCCAGGCAGCCTCCCGCTGCTCACCTGGCCCTCTGGAGAGCGGGGTTAGTGACAGCCCCTCCTCGTCTCTCCCCCCAAAAACGCCGCGTTTAGAATCCCAAATATCCGCCCAGCGCAGCCGGGCACTCTCCTCCACAGACAGACAAGGCTCGGGAGTGAAAGCCAGAGGAAAAACAGAGCTCCCAGTTTGTTTACTACCTCTTGGCACACATCCATCCCCAGCTTTTTATATCCCACTGCCGGGCTCGGCAGCCTGGGCGAGCGGGATGAGCTGTGCCCCGGCTGCCGGCGCTCCGGGGGGACCGTCCCGGGCTGCTCCCGGGACCCTGCTGTGCTGAGATCTGCAGCCTGCACAGGGAATTCCTGATCTGTAAATACACCAGTGTGACAGTGCGTGTGGTGGGGMGGGAGAAGGGATTTCAGCCCAAGCTGCTCGGGGAAAAGCTCTTTTTCTGCGTTTCTGAGCTATCACGGGAAGCAAAGCTGATGTCATTTCCAAGAAGGGAAATTTGTGGAGGTTTCTGGATAGTGGAAGGAGAGAAAGGCTAATCCAGAAGTGCTGATAGGCAGGACGAGTTTTAGATGTAAACCAAAGCTCCCAGTGGGAGGTCTTTCAGCAAAGACTTTCATTCCCTGGATCAAGGGAGCAACCAGTTAAAAACCCACAGTTCTGTGACCCTTTTTTACCTGCCAGCAGGAAAAATGGGATCATAATGCTGTTTTCAACTAGAACACAATTCMAAAAWAGGCAACAATAAAAAGCAAGAAAAYACAAAACAYTCATTAAMCTWAAACCRGGTTCAYRAAGGACTRACTCCAGTCCTTTCCTGGGGCACTGACACTGCCAGGACAGGGCCAGGCTGGACACTGGGGCTCAGAGCACCCTGGGACARTGGGAGGTGTCCCTGCCCATGGCAGGGGGTGGAAAGGGACAAACTTTAAGGTCCCTTAAACTCAAACCACTCCATGATTCCATGTCTCTATGGTGTCTCCTCCATCCAAACTCTTCACGTTGTCCCTTCCCCAGTGCTGGCTCCTGGGGTTCCTCCTGTGCAGCAGAGCCWGTTTTCCCTCTGGAAGCATCACAGCATTGATGGAATGACTCCCCTACCCCTTCTCTCCACTTTTATCCCCCTTGGACTTCCGAGTTCCCCACAAACCTCCACTGCCAGTGCTGGGTACAATGAGGCACAATGTCACCTCCATTGGGTGACAATCCCAACACGTGGGTGGTTCCAGGTTCCCCAGCCAGGCAGGATGATGAGAATTCTCTTCCCAGCATGCACAGAATTATTTCAAGTCAAGGAGGCAAACCCATGGCTTTTTATGGTGAAGATTTTGGCTGGGGTGTGGTTGAGATTATTGATTCACATTCAGATCAGTTACTGGAATAAATGGAGTGAAGAACCCAGGAGCTGGAAGGAAAATGTGTTTATCCAAATAATCAGCTTTGCTGRGATGGGAATGGCCTGGATCCTGCAGCACAGGAGGCTGGGAGCTGCAGCACCATCCTGCCTGTGGGTGTGTGTGGCATTAGCAGGAACAGTGGCACAGACACAGCGCAGGAAGGCGCCTGCACATGTCAGCTCATTCGTCGCTAGGTTTGCATTTCCCTGCCTTCCCTCTTTACCAGGAACAAGGGAAAAATATCCCTGAGGCCCTTTTGAGAGAGCCACACACATCCAAGTGRTGCTTTAATGGAAGCCTTCAGGGCAAGTTTAGAGGTCATGAATGGCCAAAGAATTTCCAGGGCYCAGCACAGGGAGGAGCTGGAGCTGCTGCACAGAGCCCAGAKGAGGCTCCAGGATGGGCAGAGGGATGGAGCAGCTCTGCTGGGAGGGAAGGCTGGGACAGCTGGGATTGTTCAGCCTGGAGAGGAGAAGCTTTGGGGTGACCTCACTGTGATCTTCCAGGACCTGAAGGAGCTGCAGGAAAGATGGAGAGAGACTGGGGACAAGGGATGGAGGGACAGGACCCAGGGAATGGATCCCAGTGCCAGAGGGCAGGGATGGATGGGATATTGGGMAGGAATTGTTCCCTGGGAGGGTGGGCAGGCCCTGGCACAGGGTGCCCAGAGCAGCTGTGGCTGCCCCTGGATCCCTGGCAGTGCCCAAGGCCAGGCTGGACATTGGGGCTGGGAGTGACCTGGGACAGTGGGAGGTGTCCTTGCCATGGCAGGGATTGGAAAGTTGGAAGGAGATGGGGTTTGAGGTCACTCCCAATCCAGGCCTGTGATGATTTCACGATTCTGTGATTCTCTTCTCTCTGGGATGCATCATAGGTGACCTGGAGGGAAATCCCAGAGGGCCAGGAACAGYTCCTCCACCCATCCTGCCTGGTCTTCAGATGATAAATCATGGCAGGTGTTGGACAAATCCCAAATYTCAGGGGAAATCCCAAATCTCAGCAAACTTGTGGGGTTTGCTGGAGGACCTAGTGTGTTTGAGGCACCAATGGCTGTGCCACAAGGTCTTGGGCTGGAGGATTCCTGGGAGACGATGGATTTGGGTTCCTGGGAGAGGATGGATTTGGGATCCTGGGAGAGGATGGATTTGGATTCCTGGGAGAGGATCGATTTGGGTTCCTAGGAGAGGATGGATTTGGGATCCTGGGAAAGGATGGATTTGGGATCCTGGGAAAGGATGGATTCAATCTCTGCAATGGATCCCAGCAGTCCCTCAGCCCATGAAGGGTTTGATCAGGGTTTGTTCCTATTCCTCACAGCTGTTCTCAGAGCAATGCCTGGCATTCTGAGAACTGCTCTTAATACATTATCATATTTATAAGTAATGCCCTAATTTGAAGGGATATCGAGTTCTTTTGGATGTAAGTAGTTATTAATTACAATGCAACAGGAAAATTCATTAGGGAATAGAATCAAACTTTCAATTAATGTCATTTTTATCCGGGAACATTAGATGAGCTGCTTTTTTTTTTTTTTTTTTTTTTTTCCTTGCCTTTAACGAGGATCTGGAAACATTTGCTAATTTCCAACTATTATAGTTCCTTCTATGAAATAATGTGAGCTCACATTTGCATATAAGAAAACATTTTCTGTATTCACTGTGACTCTGCGYTGCCCTATTTAGATCAGGAAATTGAGCTGAAGACTCCCTGTGCATTTCAAGGCGATGCTTTTCTCCTGCAGAAGAGCTGAACATTTTTCCAGGCCCACAGTGAGCTCGGGGCACGATTTTGAGGGGCTCTAACCCTGGGCTCTGCACGAGGCTTAGTAGAGGGGCTGAACAAAAGCCTGACTTTGCTGACTCTTCCCCAAACATTTCCCTTGGGCTTGTTTTGAAGTGCACTGTGCATTTCTCATTCCAGATCTTTTACTTTCAATTTCATTTTCAGTCTCAAAGCCAAAATGCAACAAAGAGCCTTCAGGTACCAGGTGTGAATTCCTTATCAYCTCAAACTGCACAAATCAGCTGCCTCCAGGCTCCTTTGGAAGGGAACTTATTCTCCTTTCTGATCTGTGAGCATGTTCAGGTTTAGGTTTGGTTTTGTTCTGTTGTTTCTCTAAGAGGTCATTCCACAACATCCCCATCTGTGAGCACACAGAAGATGGATCTTTAGTGCCAGKACTGACCCCTGTGCTATTCCCTGTCCAACCAAACTCTGAATGGCTGGTTTTGGTTCTATCTCTGTTCTTCTGATGAATCCTGAACAGCCACAGGAAAAAGAAATAGAAGAAATGGAGCTTGCAAGACTCCCCTCTACTCGCTCCTTGAGATCACATCTCTTGTCTTCCAGGTTTCCATGTTTGTTGTTGCTGCAAACATCAGATAAATCAGCTGCATAAAAATAAATCAAAGCAGCAACAGTAATTACCACTGCATTTATGATCTCAGTGCTGAGGGCAGGACAAGGRAAGAAGAGTCAGGAAATCTCTGAAGCTGAGGGTTGTAGCAGTGGGAAAACCAGGAGCCCTGGTACCCTCTGTCACCAGGGGCTCCTTCAGCACTGCTGCACTGAACAGCTCTGAGGAGCCTGAAGCTGAAACTGTGGGAAGAGGATTTCATTGAATCAGGGAATCCCAGAATGGGTTGGGTTGAGAGGGACCACAAAGCCCATCCAGTGCCACCCCTGCCATGGCAGGGACACCTCCCACTGTCCCAGGTCACTCCCAGCCCCAATGTCCAGCCTGGCCTTGGGCACTGCCAGGGATCCAGGGGCAGCCACAGCTGCTCTGGGAATTCCATTCCAGTCCCTCCCATGGAAGAATTCCTTCCCAATATCCCATCCATCCCTGCCCTCTGGAAGCCATTTCTGCAGAACTGTTTATTGGAAAACAATGACAATGGTCAGGCAAAAGTCTGTTAGATTGGAAGAGAAGGGAGGGAATTGCTAAGAAAAATAGGCAAAAATATTTCATTTTGCAGATCTCAATTTCAGTTTTTAGTTTTTCAGTTTTTCCASTGGAAATGTGCTTTCATTTGAAATGCTTCCCTCTCAACTTAATTTCAGATTTTAAAGCAGAAAAATCCATCAATGTTTYATTTTATGTCAGACAGCTTTATTTTGATTTCATATTCCAAAAAAAGTTTCARATCCTTGCAAAGTAACTTTATTGTTAATTTTGTCCTGAGCTTTTTCCAGTGATAAAAAAAAATTCAGAGTTCAAAAATCCCTCTTCACTTGCCCCGTTATCTTATGAGGAGAGGAGCCCCAGGCCATGGGATAARTGAGAACAAAAAGAGGCTTTAGGTAAGGCTGCTGTTGGCAAGCAGGAACAGGGATTTCTCTGAGAAGCCCCTTTTTGATCAAACCTTTTGATACCTAAGCCCGGAGCTGAGCTGTCAGAGCCATCCCCTTTCCCACTGAGGGTGTTCCATGAGCTCCCAAAGGCAGCACCACAAGGGCTCTGACCTTGGCAAGGTGTTCCTGAGCCAGGAGCTGCAGGAGGGAAAATGCCAGGGGGGAAATGTCCCACCAGGCTCTGAGGGAGGGGATTCCGAGGGGTGGATGGGTCCTCATGGGCTCCCTGAAATCTATCTCCCCCAAAATCATCTTCTCCCTGAAATCCTTTCCCCCAAATCCATCTCCCCMAAATCCATCTTCTCCTTGAAATCCTTCTCCCCAAAATCCATCTTCCTGAAATCCATCTCCCCAAAATCCATCTCCCCAAAATCCATCTCCCCGAAATCCATCTCCCTGAAATCCATCTCTCCAAAATCCATTCCCCCA